GGAAAGGAACTGGCAAATGGGTGCCCGGGAGCCAAGACATGGGGTCAGGGACAGTATATGGGGAGGAAGACAGACTAGAGAGGCTTGCAGGGGAAACCCAGCTGCAGATCTCAGGGAGGTAGGGGAGGGGAAGAGTCACTACAGCCAGGTTTTTGTCACATGTCTCTCCTTCTGTGCTTGCTGTGGAGTTGGCCTGCCCGTGTTTATTACATGAGCCCCGAGCAAGTTTCCTATGGGGAGGATGGCGAAACACAATTCAGCGCGTGTGTCAGACACCCAGTTCTAATCCAGGAGGCCTAAAGGGCTTTGGTGACCTTCTGACTCTTTCTTGCTATGTGACCTTGGGCAAGGAATTGAGTTCTATAAGATGCAGGTGAGGCCCACCACACCGAACTCCTCTGGAGATAAGAGGTGGTGTATGACATGCACAGGGCGAACACAGGCTTCCATAGCCACTCACAAGCACAGGCAGCTCTCTGCAGCCCGGCCCTGTGGCCCCGCCTAACATCCAAGAGAAGACCCTGCAACAGTAAAGGCTGCTCTGGACATGGGGCCAAGGGTTCTTTGGAATTCTGAATTCTGCCTGCTTCTTTCTCTCTCCTGTCTCTGCAGGATGATGTCCTGCTCTGGTGACAATGACAAGGGCCCTGTTTTTAGACTCACCGTTTCAAACTCTTAGCATTGAAACTGGCAGTGTGATTTCATCCTAAGTACAGAGCTGATCCAGAAGACTTAAGTAGTCCAGAATTTCCCTCTTCAGGGAGCTTTGGCTGGAAACATCTGGCCAGCCACTTAACACTTTCCTATTTTTGCAGAACGTTCTCAGCTAGCCTTTTTCAGCATAGCCTCCAGTGCCCTCCTGCTCTCTACCCACCCAATTCCCATGCCCCCCAGCCCTGAACTCCCCTAAAACCGGAGGCTCACTTTCCTCATTGCCTGCCCCCAGGACACAGGAATGTCTTTGGCTCTCCGTGTGAGACATAGCTGTAGCTGCTTTTGTACGTGTGGAGCTCCAGGAGCCTGGGCTCAGGCTGCTGTTGGGTCCCTCTTCCAGGGTTCTGTTAATGCCATGCAGACAGGGTTTCCGGGGTTGTCAGGAGCAGTAGTGGAGTCTGGATGGTTTCCTCTTCAGCACAGGGTAGAGACGGGTAATAAGGCCTTTGGCAAAGCCAGTGGAGGCTGGAAGCGCTGGCCAGACTGGACAAGGATGAGGACGGAGGAAGAGGTCTGAGTGTGGGCATTGCCATATTGCCAGGCAGTCCCCAGCTTTGATGGAGGGACACACAGGCACCCTCCTTCCATGGGGAAATGCTTTATGCTGCATCCTGGAGGGGGGCCTGGGAGCTGGTGGAGACATGGAGGCTGCTGGCCAGGCTGAAGATGACCTTGAGAGAGAGCTGGTGTGCTGGAGAGGAGGGGCAGGGAGGAGGAGCAGATGGGAGAGGATGCAGAGGGGAGGGGCAGGGTAGAGCCAGGCCGCTGGTACCCGGCTGCCTTCCTCCTGGCCAGGAGAGTCTGACAGAGGCACAGGCAGTGGGCAGTGGGGACAGGCTGTCCCTCGAGCCTGGGTGCGGGCAGGGCGTTGGACCACACAGGCTCCAGGTGGTTTTCCCAGCAGCCCACCTATCTGGTTTTGGTTGTTGTCTGTCTTTTGGGTCAGCGTTCTATGTGGCCCAGGCTGGCCTCACACTCACTCTGTGACCTTGAACCCTTCTTGCTGTCTTCTTCTTCTGCCTCGGTCCTCCCTCTCAGTCGCTGGGTCTCACTACACAGCTTTGGTTGGCCTGGAACTTGCTAGTGGGCCAGGCTGGCTTTGAACCCCACACAGTGCTGGCATTAAAAGGCACCCTGACTTTGAGCTCTCAGTCTCCCCCCGAGTGCATGGACTGTTGAGCCTGACTTCCTATCTTGTTTTCATAGGCCCAGCATTGTTTGTCATCTGTTTCTCAGTAGAGCGCACGGTCTCAAAGAGTCATACATCCTTCGCAGAGTCAGACCGTGCCCTTACGTCCCACATGTAAAAGAACTTTGCAGAGTTCCCATCTGCAGCACGAATGATTCACAAGGGAGGAGGCTAAAGGAAAGGGAAACGGGAAGGGAGGGAGGACAAGCGAGGTCAGGGCCGAACCCTCCCAGCCTCCTCAGCCCCAGCCCCTTGCAGCCTCCACCCCCTCCTTTCCTCCTCTGGCCCCGGGCTCTGCTGGGTGAGATTTGGGGGGGGGGGGGAAAGGACTGTGGGATTGAGGACAGGGTGGTCCAGGAAGTCGCTATAAGCTCACCTTCACCGAGGAAGGGGAGGCCCTGCCTCTTCCCTCCATGTTTGCAGAGCTGACAAAGGTTTGAAGTTAGACCCCACGGAAGGCCATGGGCAAAGGAGGGAGGCATCACACGCCCTTCGTCCTTCACAGGTGCCTTTGCCAGGGCCAGATGGAGTCCAGCCGGGCTTACCCAGGGAGTCAGGTGGGCACTGTGCCTCCTGAAAGGGACAGCTAGATCGCTCTCTGGTGTGGGCTACGAGGCACGCGGGCTGTTTGCCATGCCTGTAGGGACATTAGGGACCCTCCCTCTGGACCCTCATGACTGTCCGACCACTCACTCACACAGCGTCACTATTGGACAGGAGGGGTGGGGTGGAGTGTCACAGATGCTCTCTGTTCACCCCGCCACGGCCCAACCCAACTCCTTCTGATCCTGAGAAATGCCAGCCTGGCTGTTTCATGTGAGACTGAAGACGGAGCCGCAACCGCGATGCAACCAGCTGCTGGGAGCCAGCTGATCCCTGCAACCTTCTCTGTGCACCATCAACAGAGGGACAGGGGCTGTTTCAAATGTCTCCCTGAGTCAACAAGGGCGTTCTCTCTATTTTCTCTGAGCTTCCCTAGCCAAAGTGGGGGATTAGTTAGGAGACTGACAGCTGCAGAGGTGTGGCCTTGGGGAAACCCTGTCCCATGTCTGCCCAAGAGTAGATGGACCTGGGTTGGGATCCGATCGGACCACTCCTTTGCAGGGAGGCAATGCCTGGGTCCTGTGCCATCCGTTACCCCTCCCCCCTTATAAAACCATGGTAGCAGGGCGTGGTGATATATGCTTGGAACCCCAGCAGTGAGGAGGCTGATGCAGGAGCATGACAAATTCAGGGCCATAACAAACTGTCCTTAAAAAATAAATAAATAAAAGGCTACAGGGGATGGTTGGTTCTCTCTCCCCTCTTAGTCAACAAAGCAGTTGACCCTGTGACAGCCCCTGGCTCTTTTCATCCTCACAGCATCCCAGGCCCCGCCCAGGATCCAAAGCCTGTAGGTAATTGCTCTATTTATTTATTTATCTTTGCACAAGGCTGCCCTCTGCTGGCTGCACGCGCAGGAGTGACCAGAAAGGATGGAAATCCATGGTCACAAACCAGGAGGCTGAGGCAGAGCCAGGGAAGAGGTGAGCCCCAGCCAGAGGTCTCGCAGGTGAGCAGCCAGGCCAGGCCAGGTTTCCCTCCTTGGGGATGGTTCTCTCCAAATGGAACGGGAGAACCTAGGAAAAGCAAGAAACGAAGGGCTGTACCATAGGGACTGTACGAACCGGGCATTGGGTAGTGTAGGGTCAGGGAGGGCTAGGGCTAGTTTGTTTGTTTGTTTGTTTTTTCAAGACAGGGTTTCCCTGTAGCTTTGGAGCCTGTTCTGGAACTTTCTCTGTAGACCAGGCTGGCCTTGAACTCACAGAGATCCACCTGCCTCTGCCTCCTGAGTCCTGGGATTAAAGGCATGCACCACCATCACCCAGCTGAGACGGCTAGTTTTAAACATAGCTGGTAGGTTTTCAACAGCTTGATCTCAACATACACACACACACACAGAGAGAGAGAGAGAGAGAGACAGACATGTAGACACACAGAATACACAGACACACTCGCACAGAGATGCATTCTCTCCACACACACCGTTTACAGCATCCATAGATTTATTTCCATGATGTAAATCTCCCACTGTGACCAGTACCTACACAACGTCACCAAATGAGTTGGCAGGATCGTCCCGTGGCACTCCGCTATCTGGAATGTCAACCATGAAACTACCACGGACAGAAACAACTTCTAGATAGGGTAAAGTGACAGGGAAGTGGTGAATTTTGAGTGTTCATTCCAGCTGCTTCCAGTATAATATATTTAACCGTGAGGTTATATAATTTAATTCTTCATAATGACTGTGTTTAACAACTGAACGGCAAGATTCTGGAAAGTGCAATTATCAACCTTGTCGGCCTACCGTCAGTTAAGACAGGGCTCCAGCCCTCCACTCCAAAGATTCTCCTCTCCCACCCTCCCCTCCAGCCCTGCCTCTGGCCCTCTGCTGCCTCGTCTGCCTTCTGTTTCTTTCTTGGCTCTCCTGGAACAGGGATGGAGAGTGTGGAAAGATCTCTGCAGCTGCTGCTGTTCTCTGAGTCAGGAACCATAAGGTATGAGGAAAGAGGACAGAGAAATGCAAATTCGGTGGCTGGAGGCGCTCTCTCTGTCTCTCTCTGTCTCTCTCTGTCTCTGTCTCTCTGTCTCTCTGTCTTTCTCTGTCTCTGTCTCTCTGTCTCTCTGTCTCGTCTCTCTCTGTCTCTGTCTCTCTGTCTCTCTCTGTCTCGTCTCTCTCTGTCTCTGTCTGTCTCTCTCTGTCTCTGTCTCTCTCTGTCTCTCTGTCTCTGTCTCTCTCTGTCCCTGTCTCTCTCTGTCCCTGTCTCTCTCTGTCTCTGTCTCTCTGTCTCTGTCTCTCTGTCTCTCTGTATCTCTGTCTCTCTGTCTCTCTCTCTGTCCCTGTCTCTCTGTCTCTGTCTCTGTCTCTCTCTATCCCTGTGTCTCTCTGTCTCTGTCTCTCTGTCTCTGTCTCTCTGTCTCTGTCTCTCTGTCTCTGTCTCTCTTTCTCTCTCCGTATGTGTGTGCGGTGTGAACTTCTGCAGCTGCGGCTCACAGGCTGCCTGGCACTGGTACTACAGATCACTATTTACGCGCGCACGTTAGCAGGAGCTCAGTGAGCCTCTGCACATGGTACCTGGGAAGAGAGGGCTGTGGGCGTCTAGGTGAAGCGGCCCACAGGGAGCCTGGGCAGGCAGAAATAGGCCTCTGGGAAAAGGCTCAGGTTGATCGGGTTCCCGTCCAGGCGGATGTCTTCTAGCTGCCGGCGGTGTTCCTGTCTGTGTTCCCTGGTGTCACAGAAAGTATCTCTTTCCATGGTGTGGATCATGTTGTTCTGGAAGGAACAGCAGTGTGGCGGGTAGGGCCAAGGCCATTTGGGGGGTGAGAAGAGGGCACTTGTGGAGAGTGAAGAGAGAGGGAGGGAGTCAGAAAAGATGGCGAAGAAGAGGGGAGGCCCCGAGGGATGAGAGGAGGCGGGTAAAGTGAGGATGCAGAGGCAGGTGAAATATTGACTTGTGAGGGGAGGAGATGCTTTGAAAAGGAGTGGAGGACCATGCTCATCCATCCTCACTGCCCGGGATTCCCCTGCGGTCTGCCTTCCCCCTACCCACTATCCTTTGCCCTTGGTCTGATCAGAGCTCATTACCTGCAGGTGCAGGGAACGCAGGCTCAGCGGCAAGGGCCCAGGGATGGAGTCCAGCAGGTTGTCTGCCAGGTAGAGAAACTGAAGCTTCTCCAGTGCCTGTGGGGGCACAGAGTGAGGGAGACTGGGGGTCCTGTCAGACTCTGGTCCCAGGAGGCCGGTGTCAGGTTGGGCCCATTCGTGGGGTGGGGCTGCCTCTGTCTCTCTCTCTCTCTCTGTGTCTGTGTGTCTCTCTGTCTTCCCTCCCTCTCCAGAATCTTACTCTCTACCTCAGGCTGGCCTAGAATTCCCTATATAGCCCACGCTGGCCTCAGTGGTCCTACGACATCCTTCCGAGTCCTATGTGCACCACCAAGCCCAGCCAAGGATGCCCCGTTCTTTAATGAGCTTGCAGATACTAAGTCCATTTGATGTCTGAAGAAAGTGGCTGTCATTGAGTGCTCGCAGCTGGGGAGCATAAAGGAGCTCTTACTGTTGCCTGGGAGGAGCAGACAAGGCAGGGACAGGTAGAAGGAAGGACCAGGGGACATTTCAGCTCAGTCTCAACTGCTGTGCCGCCAGTAAAGTCTCCCGAATGCTCCAGTGGTTATGGAGAGCACGCTCAGGATGTCAGAGTGGCAAAACAGAACCCCAGGCACCCAGGCACACAGAGCAAGTGAGTGTAACAGTACCATCAGGACCAGGGAGGGCTGATGGGATAGAAATCATCCTGCAGGCGGCTCAGAGAACAGGGAGGAGTAGGCCCCCACTCAACGGAGCATCTACTGCCTACATTTCGTCATCCCATGATCTGTGCAAAGGCTCTGTCCAATCCTGCAGCAGCTGTGTCAAGGGAGCATTGTCACCCGCATTCTATAAACAGGGGAACAAGCAGAGCTGACTCATTCCATGAGCTCAGGTCCTTTGGCTCCAAAGCCCCTGCCTTTTCTGGACCAAGAAAACAGGCCTGAGTGAAGGCAGAGAAGTGCCTCCTAATATGGAAACAATCAGGACGGCGCTGAGGGCTGGAAGAGCCAGGGACCTCCCGGTACAGACAACCCCAGCGCTTTCTGCAGAGAAAACCAGCGTCTGCAGGGTTTGCATCCCATCCACCAGTGGCACGGATGCCGTTCTCTGCACCCTCTGTAGGCCCACGATACATAGCAGATGTGCAGATGTGTGTGTGTGTGTGTGTGTGTGTGTGTGTGTGTGTTTGTAAAGAAGAGTAGCAACAGCATACAAGCACCCAGCTCTCGCTGAGCACGGTGATGTCCCGTTGTTATTTCAGGACTCAGGAAGCCGAGGGAGGAGGATAATGAGTTTGAGGTATCCCGGACTACGTAACAGGACCCTTGTCTACCATTATAGCATACATAGCACACTAGTATGCGATAATCTTTTTGTACACTATCAAGATGCATGCTGTCAAGGTGTCTTCTGATTGGATTAATAGAGGTTAGGTGGGGATGCCAAACTGGGAGGACACTGGGGAGAAGAAAGGCGGGGTCTGAGGAATCTTGAGCCAGAGAAAGAGGAAGCAGGGTGCATACACAATGAGGTAACAAGCCGTGAGCCACGTGGAAGAACTTAGATAAGAAATATGGGTTAATTTAAGTTGTAAGAGCCAGTTAGTAATAAGCTTAAGCTATTGGCCAGGCATTTATAATGAATGTTAAGTCTCTGTGTGGTTATTTGGGAGCTGGCTGGCAGTCCCTATGGAAAACTGCACCAACAATAATATATAATAGCTGTATATATATATATGGCTGTATTTTTATTGACATTTTTACTTTATCTGTTTGATGCTTCTACATATGACTTTGTTTGCAAGAAGGAGTCTGCCACAACTGAGCATTGCTTAAGGGGGATCCACTCTGAGAAACGCGACACTGTGAAATTCCTTACACAAACCAATGATTCAGTGGTGGGGGGGGGGGCACATGGAGAAATGTCACGTGGTTGGGCTGTATTTGAGCGAGACAGAGAGGCTGCACACGAGAACCCAATCTTTGAAGGCTCTTTCTAGTATGACAACCAGCATGCTGTCTTCCGTGGAATGTATCCCGGGCTCTTGCCAGTCTGCTCCTTGGGCAGCCCCTCAGGATCATATTTGCATCAAACAACTTAACTTTTTCCATCAGATCTGGCCAGTAACCCATCAAATTATTACTTGAGGATCTGACCCACAGAGAGAGAGTGACCAGTTACTTGGTGGCAGATTTCAAAACCATTAAGATGATTTGTAGGAGTTGAAGTCAGGGTTAGCACCACAGACTGGAGTTTTCAAGGGCAGAACAGGTGAGCAGGTCTGGGGTGAGCAGGCTGGGGTGAGCAGGTCTGGGGTGAGTGGGTCTGGGGTGAGGAGGTCTGGGGTGAGCAGGCTGGGGTGAGCAGGTCTGGGGTGAGCAGGCTGGGGTAAGGAGATCTGGGATGAGCAGGCTGGGGTGAGGAGGCTGGGGTGAGCAGTTCTGGGGTGAGGAGGCTGGGGTGAGGAGGCTGGGGTGAGCAGGCCGGGGTGAGCAGGCCGGGGTGAGCAGGTCTGGGGTGAGCAGGTCTGGGGTGAGCAGGTCTGGGGTGAGCAGGCCGGGGTGAGCAGGCTGGGGTGAGCAGGTCTGGGGTGAGCAGGCTGGGGTGAGGAGGCTGGGGTGAGCAGGCCGGGGTGAGCAGGCCGGGGTGAGCAGGCTGGGGTGAGGAGGCTGGGGTGAGCAGGTCTGGGGTGAGGAGGCTGGGGTGAGCAGGCTGGGGTGAGCAGGTCTGGGGTGAGCAGGTCTGGGGTGAGCAGGCTGGGGTGAGCAGGTCTGGGGTGAGCAGGTCTGGGGTGAGGAGGCTGGGGTGAGCAGGCTGGGGTGAGCAGGCTGGGGTGAGCAGGCTGGGGTGAGGAGGCTGGGGTGAGGAGGTCTGGGGTGAGCAGGCTGGGGTGAGCAGACCGGGGTGAGCAGGCTGGAGTGAGGAGGCTGGGGTGAGGAGGCTGGGGTGAGGAGGCTGGGGTGAGCAGGCCGGGGTGAGGAGGCTGGGGTGAGCAGGCTGGGGTGAGCAGGCTGGAGTGAGCAGGCTGGGGTGAGCAGGCCGGGGTGAGCAGGAACAAAGAGAGAGTTAGTGGGCAGGTATGTAGGAAAAGGCCAGCCAGCACTACAGTGCTACCCTCACAGAGGCATGGGAGAGTTGCCAGTACTGGTTTTCTGTGTTCCTGAGGCCCAATAGCACGATGTTTTCCATTCACCCAGGCTATAGAGACTACCATGATGGTAGGAAGTAAAACACCCCTTTCTCAAGAAGAACGTTTAATAAGTCATAAATAGAAAAAGAAGAGAAAACGGGAATTGAAGTTTAGGCCCCAGACCAGGGGTGAGGTTAGGGTAAATGGGTAGCGTGGGTGTTGTGCAGTGGGTGGGGTTGTGTTGTGTGGTACACGGGTAGGGTGGGTATTGTGTGGTAGGCTGAGGTCCTGACTCACCACGAAGGCCTCAGGCTGTATCCCTGAGCTCTGCAGCCGATTCAGGCGGACGTCCAGAAACTCAATGCCACTGGGCAGCACAGGCAGAGTTGCCAGCTGGTTGTCTGTGAGGATCAGATGCTGCAGGGCAGGCAGCAGGCGGAAGGTATCATTGTGGATGGAGGAGATGGAGTTGCTGGAGAGGTCAATGCGCTTCAGTTTTGCTGAAGGATGTTGGGAGGGAACAAAGGGTAAAACTGGCACAGACCTCTCTGCTGGCCCCATGTGGCATGTGCTTGCCTCCACGCCTTCCTCCACCCTTCTCAAGGGAGTTCTAACTAGTTCGAAACCTGCATCAGGTCCAAACCACAGAAACAAGGCTAAAATCAGCTCTCCTTCGAAAACTATGACATACCTCAACAGCTTCCTCCAGAGCCCTGGTTCTGTTCAGTTACCAGCTTAGAAGATCCCTACCCTGGCTCAGGACAAGAACTAATAAGTTCCAGAACGGCTGCTTTCACCCTCCCTGACCTCCTGCACAACTTACTTTACACGGTGGACACTGAGGACCTGGAAGGCTACCGCAACACAAGGTAGAAGCTGGAGGCATGCCCAGGCCTCCCACCTCAAGCAGGGAATATGGCATGAAATAGCAAAGCTGCAAACAGCTCTTTGAATAGCATCAGGGCCAGAGAGAGGAGGGTTAGGATTGGCTAGCCCACAGCCTAACAGGTGCAGTTTCTGGAACATCCCGGAAATGTTGCCTTCAGCATACCTTCCTTTCCCGTACCCCAGACCTTTCATGAGAAGAACTGGCTACGTCCACTACTTCAAACTCTTAGGGATCTAGAAGGATTGGAGCATCTGTCCCTTTGACAGCCTGTGAGCTCATGTCCTCTCTGCCTTGCCATGACCTTGTCTCAAAGCGCAACTCACTCAGCCCTTTGAAGTCTCCGGCCTGGATGTGGCTGATGTGGTTGAAGTGAGCGTACAGGTAGGTGGTCATCTGGGGAAGGGGAGGGACGTTCTCCAGATCTGCATCATCACAGTACACGGAGCAGCCAAGGCACACGCAGACCAGGCAGGTAGGCAGACCTGGCCAGGCAGAGGACAGAACAGAGGGACATCTCCGTCAGCCTCTGTGGCCAGAGGTCTTCTCTTCAGTGGATGCCTGAGCCATGGGAATCTGTGGCTTTTAGATTGCCAGTGGGTTTTGCCCAGAACCACCCAGCACAATGCACCCAGACAGACCTGTCACTCAGCCTGTCACTCAGCCCTGGCCTAAGAGAGGACTCAGTGCAAAACCCATCGATCCTTTGTAAGCTCTGTCTGTTTCTTTCCCAGAGGATCCTTCTTTAGAGCCAAAAGGTACAGTGTAGATGTGGGGGCAGAATTATATGAACTAGCCAACGGTTGCCGCTTCTGTCTTAGGAAGAGGAATTGGCCATGTTGCATGTGGGTCCGGGAAGTACAGTAGAGCCAAGGTGGAATGGACAGTGTCTGCGCAGCACCTGTCCCCTCCGGGGAGGTCACCAGCAACCTGATTTTGCAGTGGGAAACAAGCCTGCCCCATTCTCAGCCCCTGGCGCCCTCTCTGCCCAGAGTGGTCAAGAAATTCGGACAGCCGGGCAACGTTGACGTCACTCGCTATCACAAGTACCCAAAAGGCACCGGAGGAAAGCTCACAGCCCAGAAATGAGGCAGCAGGAAGGACAGAGGGGGAGGGGCAGGGGGCAGAGGCCCTATGCCCTTCTCCCAAGGCTGGGAAAGGCAGGCACAGCTCAGACCCTTCACGGCCTCTTCAAGTCTGAGGTTGCAGCTGTGAGAGTTCACAGACTCCCCATGGGGCATCTGAGCTGACCTCAGTACCCCAGGTCCATGCTGGCAAGCATCCCAGAAAACAGGACAGCAAGTGCCGGCCAGTCCAGAGCAAGCTGCGCTCCGCTCCTCCTGAGCCCAGTTTTCAATCCCCCGCAGAGTTAGGGATGCTGTACCCTGGTCCCCAGGAAGGCACTGGGGGGGGCGCTGCTACCAAAGGTGGATTTGAAACTGAAGTCAGTGTCACTGCTTCATTTGCTGCCATGCCAAGTGACAGCCACAGTTACTTATTCTCCGTTCCAGGCTTTTAATCATCTCTAATCTAATCACCACTCAAATTGCTCCCCAAGTGATGCTGTTAATTAAGGTAGGGTGGCTTTGATCGGGTGTGGGAGTTCTCGATTGCGTTGCATCCCACTCAATTTGTGCATACTATTTATGGGAAAGTATCAGAGACAGCCAGCCATACCCGTTTATGGTGGTGGTGCCTGCTTCCCCCCCCCCCCCACCGTGGCAACCCTTCTTTTCCTGCTGGCAGAGGCTAACCCAGACCCAGGACTCTCTGGCCTTAGCCCTCACCATACCCCACTTTAGAACTGCCTGGTGCTAGCTAGGTCTGTGATCTATGTATACTGTGACCAGATTGCATACACTCACCATGGCGGCTCTGGGAGTTCGGTAGGCCACTGGTGGTAGGCCCAGTCATTGTGAGGTTTGATGATGATGATGATGATGTCTTTGGAGCCACAGTGCTCTGGGAGGGGCTAGCTCTTGTTGGAAGAGTCAGGCTGTCCTCCCTAACCTGGAGACACAGCACAGCATACCACAGGTCAGTATATGCCCTGGAAGGACTTAAGTGTGGCCTCCGGGAACCTCAGTGACCAAGTTCAAGCATGCAGAATGAGAGAGAGAGAGAAGGAGAGAGGGAGAGAGAGAGAGAGAGCATAAAGAGACAGCAAGGAGGGGGACTTGGAGAACGTGGCATCTAGCATCTTCCATACACAAATGAGGAAGCTGAGGTCAGAGGAGACGAGGGTGAGGGTCAGGTACCCAGCAGGTCCCAACTCACAGCTGAAATCAATCTCTGGGTCACCCGGGCTGGTACTCACTCCCTTCTTCTCTGCATTGTTCAAACCAGCACTAACTCTTCTCTCTACCCCAACCCTGGTCACAGTGGGCAGAGGCTTCTGGGCTCACGCTGCACAGGTCAACCCTTGCAGAGGTCAGGGAGAACTTCAGACTGGAAGACAGACTGGATTGACAAGCTAGCACCCACCCCCCTTTTTTAGGGAGAACATGAAGATACAGCTGACCCTCACCCCATGGCATGGCTCATGATCCTATCTGACCACATGGGGAGGTATGTATGAAGTCCCCTTCTGGGAGGGGTCCTACCAAGTGTGACACATGGATAAGACGATGGGGAGTAGTGTCCTCTTCTGTAGTAGCTTGTGAGGGACACGTTCCTAAGGAGGGATTAGAATTTGTACCTCATAGATGGTATAGATAAAAGACTACAAGACAGTACTGTTGGTAGAGCTTCCCTTGCAAGACGAGGGCATGAGTTTGATCCTGTGAACAATCATTGGTTTGTTTTGCCAGAATCTGCGATTAATGCTCAAAATCTCAGTGCTGGGGAAGCTTGCTGGCCATCCAGCCTGCCTTACTTGACAAGCTCTGGGCAAGTGAAATACCCTGTCTTAAACAAAACAAGATGGGCAGTTCCAGAGGAGCACCATCTAAGTTTGTCTGTCCTTTGAATTCCTCACACATGTACACACATGCATGTTTACCTGCATACGTATTAATGAACACACACACACACAGAAGCACACAGGCACACACACATGCACGCGCGCTCACACACAAGCACACACACACAGGATTTGCATTATATAGAGAAAGAGATGAGGATTTGAGAGACTTGTGTTATAGGCAGGTGGAAAGGGAGTTGGCCTTAATCAGGGAATCTGAGTCAACTGTGTTCTTTCACCTCAAGGATCTGGTCCCCATAGTCGGCAGGTCCCTCATAGCTGCTCAGGTCAATGACTTCACCGTAGTCCTCTAGGTCCAGGTCATAGTTTCCCACATGTAGAAATGCGTGAGCATCACCTTCCTCTGGGCTCCACTCTTCCCCTTTCATCTCCCCTGGGAGCCAAGCTGTTCCCGCCTCATGCAGCACCAGGGCCAGCAGACTCAGGAAAGCCAGGAGCCTCATGGGGTTCTGGGGAGGAATAGGAGAGGGAATGGCCCAATCCCATGAATGGACATCCTGTGGGTAGGTGGCAGAAGGGTCGTATCTGAGCTCGCTAGTGCTTTGTGGGAATGGCCCACAAAGTCACCCAGCCTCTGACCTGCACATTTGCTCAATCTTGCCATCCACCACCCAAGCTTACTCAGCATCTTCACCTTAAACTACGGCCCCTTAAATGGTGTCTGGAGGCATCTTGAGCCATCGCTCAAGGCAGCTCACAGTGTGGTCATCAGGCACCCAGGCTCCCATGACGGCTTCCATGGGCTGGCTTGCTCATCTCAAAAAAGTCCCCTGTCCACTCACCTGTGCACTGGATACACAGATTTGTACAGATATTCTCTAGCAAACAACCACACATCCAGAAGAAAACTCTTCCTGAAAAAAAAAAAAAAACTAGCTTCAGAGAAAGTACACCAAAGAGACTTTTGTTTCCTTTGGCTTTGGTACATGATAGGGTCTCATGTACCCTAGACTAGACTCAAATTTCCTATGTAGTGGAGAATGACCTTGAACTTCTGATCCTCCTGGCCCAAGTGCTGGGATGACAGGTGTGCACTGTGATCCCTGGAGTATGAGATGCTGGGTACCAAGCCCAGAGCTTCGTGCACGCTATGCGAGCTGATACCAAGCAAGCCCTCTCCTTAGCCCTATTTGTGATTAGTCTAAGATCACTCATTCAGTCAGTTTAACATTCACTGGGTGTCTACTGAGTTATAGCTTCTGGTAGTGTAGAATGAATAAGGCCCAGCCCATTTCAGGAGCAACCAGTTAACTTGGAGGCAAGTCTTCTAACTTGACACGCGATGCAAAAGTCATAAAATAGACTTAGAAATGGAACACCGTAAAAACATAGTGTAGAAACCAGAGCGCCTGTGCATGGTTGTGGGAGTGTTTTCCCATCAGGAAAGCTTCGGAGCTATCTATGCACATATCTATGTACATGTGTGCGTGCACACGGGTAACTTTGACTACACGATGTGCATATGAGCATGGATATCTGTGCACGCACGTCTGTGCACACCGGTGTGCTATGGGTACTGATGTGCCTGCACCACTGTAGGCAGTGTCTCATCACAACCACGCAGGCTTCTTCTTAATCCCAGCTGCACTGAGGGGCAAGCTCCCAGCAGTAGCAAAAAGTGGCATCTCTGTTCCCTACCCCCCACCCAAACCAAAGCATATGCTCTTTAAAACAATTCCGAAGTTTACTGAAGCCTCTTCCAGCTTCTCCGATTAGAGTCTTGGACTCTCCACCCTCCCTGCCCAGTCCGCACTCTGTGCCTTTCTTGGCATGCTGATATGTGTGAGGCCTCCAACCTTGGACCTTACCTTTTAGGTGCTTTTGGATCCGTCTGGCCCTGCAGCTTCCAAGGAGATAAAGGCTGTGATGGAGAGGGCGGCTGCCTGCCTGCTTAAGGGACCGCTGGGAAGGCCCTCATCTACTGGCCAGGAGGAGGAAAAGTAGTTGGCCCAGGGAGCCATGTGTCTAAATAGATTTTCCATCCTTTGAGATGCCCTGCTGTTCCACTTCTTTTTCTCTCAGGGGGTCCTTAATCCCATTTCTTCACTTCATGAACAGGAATTCATTGTGTAAACACACACACACACACACACACCATGGCCTTCACTGGTCTTTTTTTGGGGGGGAGGTGGTTGGTCAGTCAGATCAGAAGTATTCCAGAAGCCTGAACTGAAGCTATCCAGAGGGATGGGACCCCCCTCCCACCTCACACTTCCCCCTCACCTCCTCCCCCCTCCCCCCCCCCCCCGCCACCCCAGGAATGACGACTTACTTCATAGATGGAATCGAGTAGGGCACCGCAATCAGCCCTACCCCTAGAGCACTGGGAATTAAGAGCAGGCAAAATCACCAAGGAAGGTTTTAGGGCTTAGGCGATGCCAGGGGAAACAGGGGGTGAGGTAGAATTTGAAGACCAACTTAGAGTTCACAGATGGTGGTCACCAAGCACAGGACAGGAAGTTCTCTAAGTCCTGTCAGAAAAAAGGACAAGGACAGGAGCCGGGCTTTGGTTTACAAACACCCAAGGCATCGTGCCAGGCCTCTGGCCTGGAACCTTCCCACCCCCACTTCCCAAGGGTCCCATCTTTCCTTGGGACTGTTCCATATATCCCCAGAGGAGGGCGGGAGCTGGAGAATGTCACCCTGATTCTGCAGCCCAGGTTCCTCACTGAGATGCTCTGAACTCTTCTCCTCTGGCCACACCCGAATCCCAGTTGGGAGCCCCCCTGAAAAGGGGAAGTGATTGGTCCAAGGTCACCCACAGCTAAGGCCAACACCACATTTTGAGTGTTTTCTGGTTTCACCTTCTTTCAACGTCATCCCAGGAATCCTAAGAACAGGGCAACTCTGTGCCCTCAGAACAGATGGCCTTGGCAAAACCCATGCCAGGCTCGTGATGCCAGGTGAGTGGGTATCCCTAATAGCCAGATCTCGAAGAGGCCTCAGCTGGTGTGGGAGGGGGCTCCTGGCAACCCAAGAGCCCCCCTGCCCAAACAAGGCTGTTTTGTCTCTTAGATTGCTCCATTTGGAGAGTGGCAGCTTTCAGAAGCTCAGCTGGGTAGAGGGAGATAAGAGTCCCAAGCCAGGAGGACGTCCTCGAAGCAGATGGCATATTTGGCTGGCCCTGCCTTTCTTCCAGAGACCCTCGCTCGGTCCCTTCAGACAGCGGGGAGCGTGTGTCCCCCCCCACCACATCCACGCCATTTGTCCCTGCAAGGAATGCAGATGAGACAGTTCATTCATTCCCCCTGCCACCTGCTCCCACCCTTTCCCCCACTCTGAGCGACACACCCCCTCCACGCTCCATCACCTCCCTCCCCCATCGTCCCACCTCCTCCCCGAGCTTCCGCCCCCGCACTTCGAGGCGGGCGCAGCCAGCCCTGCACCGCGCACGCGCCGGCTCCCACGCGCTTTCCGCATCCCCATCCCCCGAGGCAAACTCTTTGCGGTGTAGGCTCTCGTCCCACACTTTCTCCCAGCTTCAATTCCCGCCTTCGCAAGCTTGCGGGTCGGTCGTTCCCATGGATTTCGGGGGCGTTGGTGGACGGGAACGTGGACCTGCATGGGAAGCGGCAGGTGGGCGGGCTCTGTCCCTGATCCCGGAGCCCAGCAAGGGCTGCCCTTCAGGAGAGACACACACGAGGCATGCTAATGTGACGGAGGCAGCAGTGTGGACAGAAGTCTGGCCAGCTGACGCTACTGCTGCTCTCTTGTGGCCGGGGTGGGGGGTGGGGCAGAACGTTCAAGGACCTGCCTGCCTCTTGGTATTCCATGCTGAGGACTGAGAATCCCTATCCCCCTCTCATCCCGCACACGGGCTGGAACCCCACACGGGCTAGCTATCTTTTTGTTCCCGCTGTTTTCTTCCAAGTCATATGCTTTCTCCATCTCTTATCTGACAAAACTGGATCCCACACAGCCCTCCTTGAGACTTCCCAGGCAGAGAGAAGATCCCCTCTGAATTGCTTATAGTTATTGCATCACAATTAAGAAAAAAAATGAATTCGTGGATGCAACCCACCCTTTTATCACGTTATTAATTCCCCAGAGGCATGGAGCATACATCACCCACCCTTGAATTCTTAACTCGGACCTGCCTGGCGTACAGTTGATCTGAAGCAGGCACTTATCCGGCAGGAAGGGCCGGGTGAGGGCATCTGTCGGTTTTCATCCTACACCAGATAGCCTAGGTTGGGAGGGTCGCAAATCCCTTTCTGTAGCCAGATTTCCTTTAAAGACAGCCCTGGTAACTGTTGTCTTTTCGAACTTCGGCGTGGCCTATAGACCTTTCTGGATGATTTGGTGCTTGGCATCTGCCCTGGGCACCTCCCATGCACACTGCATGTCCCCAATTAGATTACAGTCTTCCTTGGGCAGAAAGGGTGACCATGGGTCTTCCAGGGTATGCCTTGCTTCTGAGCACTGAGAAACTCCATAGTTTGATATCTGTGGGTTAAAAGAGCCTGGCTGATACAGTTACAAATGGAGCTATTTGATTTCTGTCTGACTTGAGGAATAATTTTTCATGAAGGTTATGAATTTGGGGGAAATTCTCTAAGAATAGGCTCTGGGATATCTCTCCTATAAATTGTTCCTTTATTGTGACAGGGTTTTACTATGTAGCTTTGGCTGGTCTCAAACTCTGTTGCCTCAGTGCTGGGATTAAAGGCATGTACCACCACTCCTGACTCCTAGGAGTTTCTTAAGACATTTTTGGGGCCGAATACGTGTCTCAGAAATTAAGAGCACTTGTTGCTCATGTAGAGGACCCGGGTCCACATGGAGGTTTCAACCATCCACAATTCCAGTTCCAGGGGATATAGTGCCCTCTTCTAACCTCTGAGAGCACTGAGCATGCGTGTGGTACACACACATACATGCAGGCTAAGCATAAATAAATATAAAAAGCACTTCCCCCATCCCAGCAAGATGCAGGGAGTCGGGTGGCAAACAGCATTTGACCCATCCACACGGTCAGGTTCATGCTGGGCATTTTCCATATGACTTTATTTCCTCTGTTATGAAGCTTGTCGGAATGTGAAAGCTGTGTCAGAGTTAACATGGTCTTTAAGAGAACAGATAATATGTACAGAGCACACACACACATACACACACCTACACGTGCACCTGTCTGTGTAGACCCCAAGGGTGCTGAGTGAATGAGCTTGTGTGAGAGCACACACACACAGTGTTACGTGTGTCTGTCTGCCTGCCTGTCGCCTGTAAAGCCAGTTTAACTCTAGCCCTTCTAGCTGACAGCTTCAGAGACCAGTGGGGCAAGCTGGTATGTTCTAGGTGGATACTGCGCTGCTGATGGTGTGACTGCTCCTTCAGGTCTGCAGGATCAGTGCCCACCCCCATCTCTAGCGGCCGCAGGAGCTCCACACAGCCCCCAACAAAGGGGCTGCAGGCTGTGCATAGATGCAGAGGGGCTTGTCCAGGCCATAGCACCGGGTTGCTTTCAGCCGTAATACTGGATTATTGACTTTAAGCAGGAGCCTTGGAGAAACCAGCTGTAGCTGGGAAGAATGAGGGGGTCGCACGGCCAGGGGAGGAGAGGTTGTGTCGAGTAGGCTCTATTTTCAATCCTGAGCAGACAAGGAATGTGACCAAGAGTATGAATGGGGATCCGGTGTCTTAAAAACAGTGTGGGACACTATTCCTGGGCAGATGCTAGAGCCCCCGGAGCCTCCCCCATCCTAGTGAGGGTGGGCTCTGTGCTTCACTCACTTCTAGAACACTCACCTCCCCACATTCCTCTCCATCATACTCTCAGGGAACTGTGGTCGGGCAGGTGCAGCCTCCCCTTGAGGAAGGTGGAGAGAATGAAAAGACCAGAAGCCCAGGCTCTTGGAAACCTGCCAAGTTGCTTGCTGGCCTGGGCTGGGAAGGGAGGGCCGGGAAGCCTTTGGGGGAGGGGCACTTGCGCAGGGAATAAATTACTGCAAGGGGACAGGGTAACACCGCATGTCCTGCATTAGATGTGCTCTGGAAGGATGTGTAGACATGCAACTCAGCTCCAAGAGGACCTGGGGGAGGGGCGCAGCCCACCTACTGCCTGAGGCTGAGAGCCAGAGACCTGGCAAGGTCAAACTAGCTTCCCTTAGAATCCCAATGCTTCCCTATGCCTTTCCCTGTGGAAGCTGTGTGCACCATCACCCCAAGCAGAGTGGAGCCAGCCGTGACCTTCACCAGCCACCAGATGTCACCAACGAGTCTGCTTTAGAGGTGGAGGCTAATCCCCAGTGTGAAAGAGGCTTCTGGGAGATTTCTCGGTGCTCCGCCCCCTTTGTCCCTGTTTCTCAAGAACTGTCTTTGGGATGGGGACTGGGTCACACACACAATAGTAATAGAGCCTGGGATGCTGCCTCTTGGCCTTCCCTTGTGAACCCTGTCCTCCAGGGCTTTGGATCCCTTGTCAAGTTTGGGTCAGGGAGACTGTAGGGTTCATCCACATCCACGTAGGCTCATTGTGGGACTCTGACTCCCAGCCACCACCCATTAGCTAAATTCTAGTTCCTTGAACCACTGTTCTCCCTGGCTGTTCCTCTCTGAGACCCAGCCGAGAGGGTGTATGCTGTGCTCGGCCCAGAGGAGAAAGAAGGGGGAGGAGGAAGGGGCTGATGGAGAAGCCATGACTCCACCCCACCTCGGTCACTCCCTCACGCTTCCTTCCTGGACAGTGTGAGGCAGCAGTGAGTGGGGTGATGCCTGGTGTCAGGGAACAGCAGGGCAGAGGGATAGTTCTAGAAGAAGGGAATCTTGGCCCAAGAGACCTGGGTTTGTCCGCCTTCTCGAGGCAGAGATGCCCAAGGTGGAGGAGCTCTCAGCCGAACTTTCCAGGGCGCACCTCTGGGATGGCTTCCAATTCTTGCTCGACTAAGAAAAGATGTCAGTCCATGGCCCTACCCAGGGAGGGAGGGGATGCGTCTGTTGGCATACACCTGTTTCTGAAGCAAAGGGAGACCAAAGAAGACCAGAGGTTTCTGCTGGCAGGGTGTCTTTGGACTGGGTGGGGAATCTTGCTTAGAGCTGGAGGCTTAGGGCACATGGCTTTCCCCGCCCTCAGAAAGGGATGGGAAGAAAGGCAGGGCTGGGAGCAGGAGAGACAGAGAAGAACGGTGGACACCAGCCTGCAGGTGCCTTCAGGAGGGAGGGAGCGCAGCCCTGAGCACAGCTTAGATGATCACAGACTGCAAGAGGCGGAAGCACATCATAAGGTCCAGTGGGATGGGCGGCTTCAGGAAATTCCCGTCCAGCCGCAGGTAGCGCAGATGGGGCACATTTTCCAGATCCGAGGAGACGTCATGGAAGGCCACTAGGTCGTTGGGGCAAATCTGGCTCCCGTTGATTTCTGCGGAGGCAGAAGGGGAGCAGTCAGCTGCAGAGGAACTGGTAGCAGGGGCGAGGGAAGGGGGGGCGTGGAGACGACAAAGAATGTGGACTACAGCTCTCCCTCCCGTCTGCACAGGGCGACTTTGGGAAGGGGAGCTGTAGGTCACCTAGTCTCCACAGCCAGTCAAATGGCTTCAGCTGGGGATGACCCGCTACGGTGTTTCTTGCATGAATGGCTTGCTCAAGGCTAAAAGCCACCTTTTCTGAGGCTTCTGCTGAGGCTCTACTCAGAGCACCCACTAGGCTGACCTTGTGCCTCAGTCTCCCGAAAGCCAGACTTACTGGTCTCATGGAGTCCAGTACTGCCTGAATCTGATAAACAGTCCTGACTACATAGCTCCTTCTGAGTCCCCTTCACTGACCTTTTAAACCCACGGCTTAGATTTGGGAAGTCCCCGCCATGGTTGCTGCTGGCTTCTTGTGCAGTGGCAGGCCCAGAACACGGGTACTTTATATCATCTCTATTATACGCTTAGGAAAGTGCCCAGCAGAATTTCTGTATCTATCCTATTTATAGGTTCAGAAACGCTGATGCTGATGAGAAGGAATGGGGGAATAAAACCTCATGCCTTTCAAGCATGGTGTTCAGCACGCTTCAGACACACACACACACACACACACACACAGAGGCATGCATGCACACTCACACACATGCATGCACGCACACACATGCAGGCACAGTTCACACACACATGCATGTGTACACACACACACACTCAGAGGCATGCATGCACACTCACACACCCGTACGCACATATGCAGGCACAGTTCACACACATGCACACTCACACACACATGCGCGCGCACACACATGATTAGGTCATCCTATTGACTTTGTGTTAGAAGATACTATTGCTGTCCTCATTTTACAGGTAAGGAAATGTTCCAATTGGGCAGAATAGCTTTTCCAGATCACAGAGGTGCAGATAGATAGCGAGGTCACAGTTGATGGTAGGGTTTTTCTTTTCTTTTCTACCCCCCCCCTTTTTTTTTCCAGTGCTAAGTATGCAAGGTAAAGTCTTAAGAATGTTAGAAAGAACTCTAAGCCAGGCAATGGTGGTGCACTCTGGAGACAGAAGCCAGCAAATCTCTGAGTTTGAGGCCAGCCTGATCTACAGTGCAAGTTCCAGGGCAGTCGGGGCTACACAGAGAGAAATCTAGAAAGCTACACGGCTATCCCAGTAGTTGCTTCTTGTAACCCGCCCTGCCCTGGTGCTCCTGAGTGTCTGCTCTCGGCCCCCTGTGGCTGGCCCTGGCCCCGTCCACTCACTCTCAATGCTGTTGTTGTTGAGGTACAGGTGTTCCAGCTTGTTGCTGATGGCTGGCACATTGCTGATCTTGTTGTGTGACAGGTGGAGTACCAGCAAGTTGGAGATGTTGAAGGAGTTCTTGGGGAGCCCTCGATCTGACAGCTTGTTGTAGTTCATACGGATGAAGGCGAGGTTGGGGAAGCCCTTGAAGTAGCCATTGGGGATGGTCTCGATCTTGTTACTGTCCAGGTAGAGCTGGTGAATGGCCGAGGGGACCTTGGGTGGCATCTTCCTCAGGATGTTGTGGGCCAGATTGAGCTGCATGAGGTTCTTGAGGCCCTGGAAGGTGTCGGCCTTGAAGACCCCGTCACTCAGCCTATTGTGCTGCAGGTCCAGGAGCAGCAGGTTCTCGAGCTTGCTGAACACGCCGGGTGGAATCCTGGAGATGTGGTTCTGGCTCAGCCGCAGCTGCTCTAGGTTCCTGGGCAGGGCCGCCGGCACCTCCTCCAGCTGGTTCTTCTCCATGTAGAGGAACGCCAGACTGGGGAGCTTCTCCAGCACCCTCTGGTCCACCTTGCGGATTCGGTTGTTGTCCAGGTTGATCCACCTCAGGCCTGTGGCATTCTTGAAAGACTCCAGAGGGAGCTCGGTGATGAAGTTGTTCTGTAGGTAAAGGTAATGGATGCGGGCCGGGATGACGGGCACCTTGCGAAGGTTTCTGCTGTCACAGTAGAGGGCTGATGGGAAGTCAGCTGGGCAGTAGCATTCCCGGGGGCAGTCGGGGAAGACAGATGGAGGGCCGGGAGGAAGGGGTGGAGGCAGGTCTGTAGGCTCTGCTGGCTCGTGGGGCTGAGGAAAGCTGGGTGTGGGCCTTGGCTTGGGTTTCCGTCTAATCCCAGGTTTTGGTCTTGGTTGGCCTTGGGCCACGGAGGCCAGGATGAGGAGAAGTGGGAGGAGCCAGAAGAAGGATGCCCTCATGATCCAGGTGATGAACCTGCAGGGAGGAAACTGGGAATAATTAGCCTGCTGGGCCTCAGGAGTGCAGGCAGGTCTGTGCAGCAGGGTTCCCCCTGACCTAAATCCTGGGGAGAGAGGTGTGAAGAGCAGGTGGGGATCTGGGGCTACAGAACTCTTCAAGGAGCTTCCCCTCCCCTTGTGGGAAGATGCTGGGAACCCAGGATCCTAAGGCATGTGGGAGACCCTTCACTATTGGCGGGAGGCTCTCCTGAGCTGTAACATGAGATAATCACCCTACTCCTATAAGGAGTAGTGCTCAAGGTAGTGCTCTGCCACGGAGTGATGTCAAAATCCACTGGATACTTTTTATGTCACCCCTCCCACAAGAAAAGTTCCCAGTCCTTTTCAGTGGGAAGCTAGGGTATGGCCCAGAGTCCTGAGCAGTGGGTCTGAGAGACTCCTCACAAATCCCCCCCCGCATGGTAGTGGTTTTCAAACTGTGCACCTACGGCCCTGTGCATCCCTTGAGGACTTTCACTGAGAGGGGTCCCCCAAGGTGACTCCTGTGCTAGCATGAATAGGCTTGCTGTTTAAATCTGTTATAGACAGATAAGAACACACACACACACACACACACACACACAAGAGTGTGCTTAGACAAAGCATTTGAAGAAGAGAGGAAAACATCATTGCTAAAAATGGTTTGCGATCCACACACCATGGCCAGCCCCCTCTGTTTATACAGTTGAGGCTAGAGGAAAGAAGTGTGTAGTGGGGGCCAGGAGGCCGTTTGACAGTGGGGGGAGGGGAGGAGGGATTCAGGTCTCCTGAAAGGGAAATGCTCAGTCACTCATCCACTCACCCAGGCTTTGTCCCCTCCTCTGCACTTGGCTCAAAGAGTGCTGGCCTTTGCCAACATAAGCCATGCCAAGAATTCCTCCCCAGATGTAGAGGCCCTTGGGAAAATAAACAGGAAAGGAATAGAAAGGCCGGGGAAAACACTTTCTGCAGAGCCGGTCTTGCCACTCCATTTACTTTGGGACTGGTTGTGTTAGGAAGAGCTTCTAGGTGGCCTCAGGAACACTGGGATCGAGAGCTGAAGGGGCCTTTGGTGGCTCTGCAGGGGAAATACCAAATGATCCATACTAGATAGAGTGGCAACTCCCTTGGGCCCCCCTCTCCAGCCTCGGGTAGGAAGGGCACAGGGAGAGAGCCTGTACTTTGTATCCTCCTCCCCTCTGATACTTTCCAAAACATGTCGCTGGCTCACCTCAAGTCTTCCTCACGATCACAGCTCTGGAAATGCAGGCTTCTTGGGGTTCTCAGAGGCAGAATGGGCTAAAGTAATTGAACCCTATGCTCATAGCCTCTGGTCTAGGCCTCCATCCCCCACCTACCCCCTGAGCCCATATCAATGTTAAATCTTGCTTTGCTTTTTCTAGGGGCCACCTTCTGTATACTTTAATCAAAGGGAAGGGGCAGGGGCCCCGCAAGTTGTCTGTTAGATGCTCAGGCAGAGCTGAATGTGACAGATAACAGGCAAGCAGGAACTAGCTCAATCCCTCGACACACACACACACACACACACACACACACACACACACACCTCTCTTTGCCCCCAGCCCATAACACTCTGTACCTACACTCAGCCCTGACCCATATATATGGGCAAACAAACATTCTCAGGGCCCTGTATACATGTTTGAGCTTTGTGTGTTGGTCTATGTGGGAAGGAGGGTAGAACAGGGAAGGCGGAGGCCATCTGACTGGTGTGTCTGTCTCCTGCCTGGGGTGGGTTTCTCAGACAGACCTCTCGGGTACATTTAGAAGGTCATTTTCCCAAGCCTTCTGTGACAAGGGACTTTGGTTCTCTGCACCGAGGCTTCTCTGAAAGACCTGAAAAGATGATGTGTTCCTCACGGCACTAGATTCTGCATCACTTTCTAACCGGTGTGTAGGAATTTACATTTTTATAAGACTTTTAATTTTCTTGAAAATAGAATAATGGTCATATTACATAGAAAGTAAAGAAAGTGAAGCATTGCTATTCCAAAAACATTTTAAAAGTGCCGGTCTTTGCAACCCTGGTGTGTTCTTCTGTTCTTTTAGAATCACTTTGTTTATGAATTACCCAGGAGTCTATAGGCAAATTACCCCCATGCTGTGAGAAACCTTGCCTCAAGGCCAAAATTAGGTCTGATTGAAGTTCCCTAGTCCTCTTTACTGCTCTTGTGCCCAAAGGCACTTCCAGGGTGAAGTAATGGACTTCAAGTTAGCTAGACAAACTTTCCAGGGACCCAGCAGAGCCTGTCCTGTGAGGCAGGCAGCTGTGGGTAGCGGTGGGTTCAGTGGGTATCTGTGCTGGGCAGCCCTGGCTCCACTGTTAAGGCTCTCCCCCTGGGAACCCCACTCAATTCTTCCTGCCTGGCTCAGGTATGCGATCTCCAGGCCTCCCTCATTCTCATCTCCAGGCCAGAGTCCAGACTTTGTGAACCCTTTCTTCTGGATCTCAGCCCCAAGGCTCCCCAAAACAAGCTCCGTGAATCTGAAGTGGAGAGTTCCGTGGCAGAAGAGGATAACCCTCCCCTCTTTTCAGGCCCCAGGCTGAACCAGAGATCTGTGTGCAGAGTGCACGAGGAAACTGTGTTCATTTCCAAGGCCTCCCTCACAGGCACACCCCTTCCTGCTGAGCCAGGCTGTGCTGGGCTTCAGGGAAGGTCTCACTACAGAGCAAATCTGCTGCTGCTCTAGCGTTCTATAAAGGAGAGGCAACCCCTCTCCAGGGGGTGGGAGTTGTTGCCTCACCAACAAAGCCCAGAGCCAGGGTCCTATGATCGCATCCTCTAAGTCATTAGCTCCCTTAGGACGGGGTGTCTGCACTTAAACTTACTTCTGCTTCTGAAAGCATACCTCCCCAGGTCCTGTCCAATCCCATGCCCTATTGGCCCTGCTCACCCTCAATCAATGAGCCCTTGTTGACCCCTCCTCACCAAACTCATGCAGTGGGGGCTCTCTAGGGCTGGCTCACAGGGCTGTGGCTTCCCAGAGGGAGCAGTGGCTTCGCCAGTTCACATTCTGCATGTAGAAGCCTTTCCTAAGAGATCTTACAATTCCAATTTCAGCTGACAGCGTGGACCTGGGCGTGGACCTGGGCGAATCCTGCTTCTGCCTCTCCTGTTGGCCTCTGGGCTTGACATTTGTGAGGATGGGATGAGCTCATGCAGAGAAGCAGAGGCTGGGAGAGGCTCCCTGAGTTTAAAGGGAGAGAGTCCTCATTCCTACCTGTCCTGTTTATCTGTGCTATATAACCCAGGGGTTTCCAGGGTTTGGACTCCTGCCGCATGGGGCTGAGGAACTGTGGGCCAGCGCAGCCCAGGGAGAGTGGTTCTTCTGAACTTGTGAACTAGAGTTGGGTGAAGCTTACCCAGTTATCAGATGTGACTGGCACATGCAAACTTTAAAGTGCAATGCAGATCAAGACACGTTAAAAACAAGATGGGTGAGTAGCTAGCATGTTCCCGGTTCAATAGGCGAACGTTAACAGAGTGCAGGTTTTATGGTTTTAGGGAACTAACCTGAAAGAGGAAGTTCCCCATAGTGTGTGTGTGTGTGTGTGTGTGTGTGGGACGGGATGGGGAAGAAATCAGACAAGCAATCCCTCATAGCCCACTGCCCCCTCTATCTGCCCTCCGGCCTCTCTCCCCGGCACCGTTGACCCTTGACTAAACTGAGAAGACTCTGTGTGACACTGGATGTAGTTACAGGTACAGATTCCACCCGGCAACTTATGCTAGCCAGGTAACACTCCACAAGCTCAGTTTTCTCGTCTGTAAAATGGGCGCGCTGGACAACCCTGAGGGGACAAAGACCAACGCCAGGGTTCGGTGGATATTATGCAAGCACCCTGACACCGAGCTGCAGTCCCCATTCTGGATGTTGCGAGGGTGTGTGTGCTCGGTGTACGCCAAGGGGTCGCTGGTACCACTTTGAATGAATGAGGTTTTTTTGGTTTGCTTGTTTTGTTTTCCTGTCAGCCTGGTTGGTTAACACCCTCCATCCCTCTCCTTCTGGAAGGCCCACACACCTGGGCAAAGCTCACCTTATCGCCATCCTGACGGTCTAGCCCCGCCCTCTGCTTCTGCAGCAGGTAGAGACCCTGGTCAGCAAAGGGATGTCATGCTTTTCTGCTGGTTGTGGCTTCTCCCAGCCTGACAGTTTTTGCTCCTTTTGCCTCGAGAGGTTCTACTCACATGCTGTCCAGGCCCGGGTAAGGGAGGGTAAGGAACTTATTATCAACTAGTCTGTCCTCTGAGAGGGTTAGGCAGGACAGGGCTGTGGAGCCCAGGGGAGAAGGGATCCATCTAGAAGGGACACTTCTTGGATGCCTGGGATAGGTAGCCTAGCAGGTAATAGGAGCTGTCTTGAGGCAACTTCCTTTCTTTCTAGAATGTTCTCTGGGAATATGGTTCAAGCCCTGTACCTTGAACACTAGGGGGGTCTCAGAGTGCGATTAAACAGCACTGGGCTCCTTGGGCCCTGTTTGATGGGTCAGTAGTGAGTATCTGACCATGTTTTTAGCAAAGCTTCCATATTCCATGCCTGCTGCCCAGGGGCTTCTGAGATCCCCTTGTTGCTGCCATGGGCAGCAAGCTGGAAGGGAGGAAGTTATGCAAATAAGGTTCTCAGGTTCCCTCTCCTCCCCCTTCCTCCACCTGAAGCCCCCTTACCAACTGATTGGTCAGGATAATCTCAGAATAACTTCAGAGAGAACCGTGTCTCTGACTACCTGCAGGGAGTAGAAAACTTACGAACTTGGAGATAGGGCCTCCAAGGCTTGCAGGCTCTGTTGACTTTCTCTCTGCAAAAGCCAAGTGGTTTGGACCAGGCAGGCAGGAATTCAGGCTGCTGAGAAGATACTGTGCAGGCCTGAGATCCACTTTTCTCTCCCTCCTACCTAATGAAGCTCAAAAGGAAATAAATAAGCAAATCACTCGATCGCTCATGCCCTCCCTGCTTAGCCAAGATATGAGTGTCTTCTGGGTCTGTGGTCTCAGCCAGAGGACACTTTCTCTCTGGCCTTGCAGCTGAGGAGGCCATGTGAGAGGGTAAGAGACAGTGTGTGTGTGTGTGTGTGTGTGTTTGTGTGTGTGTGTCTGTCTATCTGTCCGTCTGTCCGTCCTCTGCAATGTGTGACAGTACATGAAAGGTTCAGAGAACTGGGTTCTAGTGTCCGGTTTCTATGGCAACATTTGCTCTGTTGAAATTCTGTGTGCGACACAGCTCTCTGAGTTCAAGGAACATCTGCACTTGAGGAAAGTTTAACTTCAGCAGGGAGCACACACAAGGCATAGGATGCTGAAGAGACATGAGGGTGTCAGCAGAAAATGAGGAAGACTAAACCTGAGCTCGGTGGAGGGGAAAAATGAGAGGGAAGGAGGGAGGGGGAGGGAAATAAAAGGTTGGGCAGAGCTAGAGGGAACCCTTGGAGGAAGGGGCCTCCTCACCTCTGTCTTCTCCCCATTGTCTGGCTTACCTGCACACACCTGCCTCTCCTCGGGACCCTGGGGCAAATCCTCTCTTCCTCCCCACCCTTTGGTGGAGCTGTGGCGGGCAGAGAGACAGCTAGGAGCTCTGGTGTCTGTGTGTGTCTGCCTGACTTTCTTTCACCAGATCCTATTGGGGTGGGGAGGTTAGGTTAGGGGGAGGGAGGGGCAGATCTGAGGGGGGAGGGCAGAAAGGAGGAGGAGGGGACAGGGAGAGGGAGGGCACTTGGGAAAGGAGGAATGACAACAATACGGTCTTTATTTGGCAGCCAAAACTGCACAGACCTCATCCACACCCGATGCCCACTAACGGCTCACTTTTAATAACGTTTTCCTGCTTCTTCTGCTCTGGAGAGAGACTGTTTGACCCGTGTTTGGAAAACAGGCCAAATCAAGGGAGGGACGCTCTTGGAAATGAGCCGCTGCTTCTGAGCAGGCGGGCGGGGTCGCTGGGTCCAGCCTGTTCAGTTCCCAGCATGAGCCTTGCTTCCCTGGTGTTCATTCCTCAACTCCTGGCGGGATGCTTTTCAGAGCATCTTCTCCAGGAGCTTGCTAAGGGAGTGGAGCCTCACTGTGCAGAAGGCTAGTCTGAAGATCAGAGAGGGCAAAGTCTGACCGGAGGGTCACACAGCAAAGTTAAAGCAGATTTCCAAATGTAAGCTCTCAAGTCATCCATGGGTCCTAGTTCGTAAGGACAATATCGGGGGTCTTCTTCAGCTTTGTGTCACACTCAGGTGAGATTTGGGGACTGTGTGGTCATGAGACAGTAGCATGGAGATCCCGGCCTCCCTAATGCATATCCACTTCTTGGAAACCAATTCCAGGATCTCTGTTATCTGAATAACACTCCCCAGATGGAAAACAGGGGCACTTGGCTTAGAGGAGCATCCAGCACAACTTCCTGCTCAGAACCTCAGGAATACACTCATTCAGTCACCACAGGTCAAGAGAGACCTGCTGATAAATAACTGTGAGTCATGTTAGAGACTGGTAAGCAGTGAGGCTCCGGGAGGGATTGCGGCAAACAATAGCCAGAGAAGAAGAGGGACAGGAACCCTTACTCACTGCCTGGCTACCTGCCTTCTCACTGTGCTGGTAGGGTGTGCAGGCGGTGTGTCCACTTGTGGGGATCCATCCACACCCCCAAAGCCTGCACTTCGGGAGTGATGGCGACCAACTTCCAATCCCTTCTCAAGCTAGCATCCCCTTCTTGTCTACTCGGCTCCAGGCCATAGGGATGCAGGTGGAATGAAGGCCAAGGACCGCCAGCGCCATTCAGGAAAGTCAAGGTACCGTTTAGCAACTGGTGCCCCTGTGAGCATGACATGATGTAGTATAGGATGTAAACACACACGTTCGCACTCTGGGCTGTCTTTCCCTTCCCCCTCACTCTTTGGTGCTGGGGGCTCAGTTCCAGGGCCCTGCACGTGCTAGGCACCACTGAACTGTGCCCGTAGCCTTCACACATGTGTTCGCACTGGACCCTGTCACCTCACTGCTTAACACTCGGATCAACAGGCGCCAGCTCACGCTGTCACACCACTTGGGACCTGAGGCAGGAGAGTTGCTGCAAGTTTGAGGCCAGCCTGGAAGACTGAGACATCTCAGGGAGGGGGGGAGGGAGGCAATAACTAACTAACTAAATAAATAAATAAATAATAATTACTCACTTGTGGCGATTTTTGTTTCTCCTGTGCCTATTCCCACAAAACCCTACTGGTATGTTTTGGAATCCATACTTACTTTATTGTATTTGGTGATGCCAGCCAACCTGCCCTCCCGTGCCCCTTGACAGAGGACAGAACAAGCTCCGAACTGGGGACAGATGCCAACGCTGTTGAGATCGGCTTGGACCCTGGGTTGCTGTGTCTTCTCTTAGTCATTTGTAAACTTCCAGGTTATCCTAACTGAACTTTGAACTCCCTTGCGAAGAGTGCCTCAAGGGCGGCATTAGGACACCTGGGTTAACACTCCGGCTCTGCTCCTGTCGTGGTTCACTTTCCTCACGGGTGTGCGGGTGTGCGGGTGTGCGGGTGTGCGGGTGTGCGGGTGTGCGGGTGTAGGTACTAGAGTAACCCTGTTGTTCCTCGATCGTCCCCAGGATCTGGGCAGGCTTGCCAGAGCAGAGAGCATGGTTCACACGGCCAGACTGACGGAAACACACAGTGGGTGACATAGCCATCTCTGCCTGGTGTGGCGCTCACTCACGGACACTTCTGGAATGCTAGGGAAGTGTGGGAAGTGTATCCAGGCTGCAGCCATCAGGGAGAGGCTGGCATGGCTGAGGTGGAATGCAGGGGCCAGACCTAGGAGAGAGGTGGCCCCCGGCTGTGGTGGGTTTCAGCTGCTTTTCTAGAGACTCTGCCTGCCTGCCCGTCAAGACCTCCGGCCCTCCGGGCCTCACTGTCCTTTCCCTCTCATGGTCCCCCCCCCCCCCCGCTTTGGCTACTGCAGTGTGCACCATAGCCAGAGAAGAGAGGGCAGATTGTGCCAGATGATGCCCTATTTCTCCAAGTGCAGCGAGCAAGGGACCACCACCCCCCCATTGCCAGGCCAGGCTCAGACCGCAGGGTGGTCACCGGGACCCACAGAGGCTAGGGTGCACAGCAGGGGAGAGGCTGTGGGAATCCCGGGGGGCCCATCCCTCTGGCTGGCTGGGGGGCCTGGGCGCCTATCAGGAAAAGACAGCAGCCTGTGTATAGTTGGGAACCCACAGCACCCACCAAAGGCTTGGCATGTCTGGATACCCAGCCCCAGATCTTATGGGTTGGCTTGTAAGAGTATTAAACAAGGACAGTTTTTGTCACTTACTTCTTACCAAAAAATGTTATATATTTTTAATGTGTCATAGTTATTTGTTGTGCTCCATGGCTGTCTCCACTCAGGAGACACCAGCGTGCAGCTCTTTGGCCCCTCCCCTCCTCTGATACTGAGGATCTAACCTAGGGCTTGGCCCACGCTAGGCAACTGTATCACTGAAATACATCTCCAGCTTTCTTTTTAATTAAAAAAGATACTTTTGTTTCAAGACAGGCTCTCACCAAGTGGCCCAGACTGCCCTTGAACTTGTGTCCCTGCCTTCCTTACCCCCTGAGTTGTTGGAACTATAATCCCGCGTCATCAGACCCCCCTGCTGCCGCAGAGCTATTCCTCCCAGACCATCTGCTTCCTCTTCATCCCCTTCCTCCCTCCTTCTCTTTCAACTGCTTCCCCCCTCCCCTCCCCTCTCGCCTTCTTCCCCTGCCCTTCCCTTCCTCTCCACCCATCCCCTCTCTTTTTAAAGACACAGTTTCACATCGTCGTCCAGGCAGGTTACAATCCTCCTGCTTCAGCCTCCGAGTGCTGCTTGGCGGGGCCACACCAGCACCCGTTCTTGTTCCCAGGACCCCTTGCCAGCTACCCCGTGTTGGTACACACAGTTCTCTCTCTGTATCTGACAGTGAGGGCCTCCTCTTTGACGTTTGGGCTCTTGATTTTTATTATTATTGTTGTTTTTGCTTTGAGATGGGGGTCTCAGGGAGCCTATGGTGATTGATTTGAATGTCATAAATTAGGGACACCTGGGTAGGGAGCCTCGCCCTCCTGAAGAACTAACTGTCCCCATTGCCTTAACTGATGCAGGAAGACCCGCCCCCCCATGTGGGTGTTGCCTCCTGGCAGCACCCCAGTTTAAAAGGCCTGCAGAGGGGAGGTGTCCCCTGCTGCTCACTGGCCTTCCCTCTTGCTGGCTTGCCTTACCCTGTTGCTGATTCCTTGGCTGATGTCGGAAGCAGCAGCGTTCCCAGTCTGCTGTCGTGGACTATGGAAGCTTTCAGGCTTCCAGAGTCAGCTTGGGACTGTGGAGGCACCCAGCCTAGCGGGCTGAGCACCTTCCAAGTTGCCATGCCACAGTGAGAGAGAGCCACCACCGTGGGGTTACTCCAATTGCCGAGGCGCCCGGCCTCAAGGCCCAAGCAGCCGCCAGACTCCGGGCCTCACAGGTGTGATTCAGTTGTTGTTGCTATTTTAATGTAAGCTGATTTAATAAATTCTTTAATATGTATAAATTCACCCCGTGGTCCTCCAGAGAACCCTGGCTAATACATAGCCCAAGCTGGCTTCATGTCGTGATGTCACCAAGGATAGCTTTGAACCCTTGATCTTCCTGCCTCCACCTTCCAAACACTGGGATCACAGTTGGCCCCTCATTTTGAGGTCAGCAGAACTAGGCTCAGAGGCTCACATATGTGGTACCAGCCCTGGTCCTGCTTCCCCTCCATACTGACTAGGAGCTCTTGGGCTACTCAGGTCCCTCCTGCGTTTCTGTGTCCTCATGAGCAGGTATTAATTATAGTCTGGACTCAGCAAGGGCAAAGAACCCTGCGCCATTACTTACCTTTGCCCTACAACACTGGGACAGAGAGCTCATCTCAGCACAGTGGCAAACACTCCATTTCATTCTTGGCATCCCCCGCTCTGGGCTCATCTGCGGCTTCATGGAGACAGCCTTAGCAGGGCTGGGTAAGGACACGCCTCCTGCTCCCAATTAACCATGCTGCAGGGCACATCCAGCCTTGGTCTACCCTAGCAGCTCTTTGATCCCTCCCTGGACAGCTGTTTGTAAGTTTGTAAGGGACAGCAGCCCTTTGTAGGGTGACCATTTCCTTCTGAGGGATACACAGGCTGCCTGGCATTGTATCAGAGAGAAGACCAGCCGCCTTTCTTGGGTCCTACTGATCTCTCTTATTCTCCCTTGCCTGGTCCCCAGCCTAGGAGTTTCCTTTACTTCCGGTCACGACACCAGTCTCTACCCAGAATCCCCCAAGGGCTTAAGCTTGTGGAAAGTGGGGCCAAAGGCACTTTGTAGCCTGTCTCCCCTTTCTCCTCCTCTGCTTGGTTCAGCACAAGGAGGCAAAGACCAGGAAGGATGGGGTAACCATGTTATCAGGGACACAGCCAGGCTGAAGGTCCCTGGGTCCCTTTCCCTTGGTTGTCAGGAGCCCTGCACAGGGCTCATGGGCTTGCAGGCTGTCCCAGCAGTCCTGCAGAGAGGGCAGGGTCGGAGTGGCGACAGAGGCAATGCACGCACGCTCACGGCAGTCTGGTTGC